TAGCTGATGAGGGAACTGGGCCATTGAGGGGAAAGCATCCCCTCTGGTGTAGGTATCGTCTTATTTGGAAGAGTTGGGCTAGGATATATAAAGAAATTCTCTCCCTTTCTCCATCTGTATTTGGGACATAGAGTAAAAGGAGTAAACCCATTGAACTGTACTTTACCTACTCTCACTGCAAGCATGTTAATACCTTTGGGTCAATGACCCAATAACAGGGGCCCTGACTAAGCAGCTCAGAGGCATCTTAAATGATGGGAATCATCATTGGGATAGTAATAAACCAGTACATTACTTGATTGTTTTGTGGTAACCAAAGCTTATTTGGGCTAGATAAAAACTAGCCCTGCTGTCACAGATTCTTTAATCTGGGGTAAGAATCAACTGAGTCTTTCATGTTCAAAGATGTGGATTAAAAGCCACCATGAAGATGTAAATGCAGATGTTCCTGTGTTCTGACAGGTTTCCCCCTGGTCCTTATAATATCTGCTTCTGATTGAGCCAAGGAGAAGAAAAGCTTTTTGGTCCCAAGAGATAGGTAGTCCTGCCACTGGGTCTGGATCCAGTATTTGTGTCATATATTCACACATTTACCTGAAGAGGGATATGACTAACTGGGGGAGTTTCAGAGGAAAGCCTCTAAAATCCCACAGCTATCTAATGCAACCATAGAATGTAAGGTGCAGTTTGCAAGTATCTCTCGAATAGTTGTGGAAGGCCTGTCTGAGGCCTCTCAGGACCTACAGTTTGGTTGGACAAGAAAGAAGTCAGAGAAGGAGGCCGTGTTGAGGGAGGCTCAACTTAGTTGGCATACACCTACCATATCACAGGGCATGTTTTCCCCTTTAGGCATGTGGAATTTCCTGGGAGCACTTCTAAAGTATACCTTTTCCTCAGATGATTCTAAGGTGCAGATCCTGGAGAAGAAGAAGCACTGCCCCCTGATGGGCTGTTATATAATGATTTTTGTCTGTGAGGGGGAGTTGTCAGTGATCTCAGGCTGAGACAGGATGAGGAAGGGAGGCAGACCTCAGGAGTGCAGCGGTGGGCTGAACAGGAAGAGGCATGTCCAACAGGTGAGGGCTGGGTGATTCTCACCAGAGTTGTTCCAGGAAGTCACAGAGCATTTAATTTCCTTCTTCAACCACTAGTATTGATTTTATTTAATATTTATTTGCTTATTTATGTGTGTGCGTGTGCCTGCGTGTGTGTGTGTGTGTGTGTGTGTGTGTGTGTGTTTGTGGGAGTGCACATCCCACAGCA